CCCCCGATGGGTTAGAATATTAGTGTGAGAATGGCCTTGGCTGCTCAGAGGATTCCCTGTGTTTATCTCTGGGTGTTTGTCAATAATTAATTCAGTTAGTGTTTGTTGTGGGAAAAGCCACTTGCTGAGCCCTGGAGAAACTTTAATAATGATTATGATGATGATGATGATGATGATGATGATGATGATGAACAAACCATGCTTGCCTTTAAGGTATTTAGCTGAGAAAATGAAACCAATGTATTGCATTGCTTTTTAGAAGAGTTTTGGGACTTCATGGCAAGGCCTTTGTTCACACTAAATAGGAAAAGTGCTAAGACAATGCAGACACTTCACATTCTATGCAGTTCTTTACTGAATGCTTCCAGGAGACTTGAATTTTGAAGAAGAAAAGAAAGCCCTTGAAAACAGTGGGGCTGATTCACACCCATTAGGGTGCCTATTATTAAAAAAAGGCAAAGCAAGACAGGACTTTATACTTAGTTAAAAAAAAAACAATGCACATATTGTATATGATTCCACTTACATGCAGTACTTAGAATGGGCGAATTCAAAGAGACAAGAGATAGAATGGTGGTTTCCAGGGGTTCAGGGGAGGGGAATTGGGAGTTATTGTTGACTGGCTACAGAGTCAATTTGGGAAGATGAAAAGCGTTCTGGAGAGGGATGGTGGTGACAGTTGCACAATAATGTGAATGTACTTAAGTACCACTGAATTGTACACTTACAAATGCTCACAACGGAAAATGCTATGTTATGCAAATTTCACCACAATCATAGTAAGTGTAGGGATCTAGGAAGATGCTGTAACATCACACATGCTTGGAAGGTGTTTACCTGCTATTACAGCGAACAGAAAAGGAAATAAAATGTTAATATAGAGCTTGGATGTCCTCCTCCCATGTGCGGACTGGGCTAGAGGCAGGGGCAGGACAAGTGGCTTCCTTGACTCACAGCAGAGTGGAGAGTGGGGTGAGAGAGGTCTTGTGACATTCTGCCATCTCTGTCTGCGAAAGGTTGGTCAATTGCTGTCTCACATCGGCCTGCTGTGAGGATCTTGCA